CACTTCCGTTCGCCGCACGACCGGCGCGTAATACATAATGGGCGACAGTCCTTCCAACGGAGAGCATATGGACTGGTCGGATTCTTCATCGGGGTCATCAGTGGACCAACCGATCCACGCGCCGACGCCAATGCGACCACGTCTGCCGAGCCGCAAAAGCAGCGGAACCATGATCGTGCCGCGCGACTCGGCCGTCGGCCCCGTCGATTTCAAGATCGGACCTGATGATGTGAGGTCCATGAGTCCCAAGAGAACGAGTGAAGACATCGAGACGCTTGGCAAGGCCGCCAGGGAAGAGCTCCAGAGGTATGCTTAGCCCGACCACTATTCTTCAGGTTTGCTCACAAGCATAGGCACGCAAAAGCACTGCAGGACTCGCTACTCGTGCTGTTCAGCCGGATAGAGGCGGTCAAGGAGGAACATGACAAGCTCGACAACAATAACAAGTTCCTACAGAAGTACATTGGCGATCTCATGACGACGAGCAAGATCACCGCAACGACCGGCAAGTCCAAGAAATGACGATCCAAACGGATGACGATGGCGTTCCGCTGGGTTGACCAAGAGATCTCGCCAGCGGCCGGACGCACGGCGGTTGTTGCGCGCTCGGGAGCCGAGCGTTGTCCCGGGGTGGTTGAGTCGACACTGGTCAACACACGATATCCCCGAACCGGAACGGCGATGGCCTCAGAACGGTAGGGTCCCGTATCGTGCGGACCGGAGAGGGACAGCATTGTATTACAGCAACGGACGCACAAGCCAGCAGCACGGCCATTCTTGTTACATTAGCATTGGGGCATTACAGGATCAGGAGTTCACGATGATGTGCTTTTGTGGGGAGGGAAAACTATTTTATACCACGGGGTGCAAGTCATTCGGGCACGGCTATGGAAAACCATTTCGCGTACTTGTTGGCATGTCCAGGATATGGACCTATTCAGCCATCCCACCGCGCAGGAACATAATGGCGTTTTCCGGGGAGGTCTGCATTTTTTGGAAATGGCGTGGGGCCTTGGCTAGGGTAGCGCTGGCTGGCTGACGATATTCGGTGTAAATATAGCCTAGGGGTCTTATTCATACCATCGAAATGAAGATTTAAGCATCCATGGTGGGAATGCATGAAGGGTCTCTGGGGGCATGTGGCCGTCTAGTTCCCCGAGAGTGCCGAAGCCACCCATCCAAGCCGTGGACCCCAATGTCGGTCCGGGATCGTCGCATCTCACGTTGCCACTGCGGTCTCCGTCACGCCCGTGTCCCGTTGCGGCTGACATGAGCAGTACTCGTACACCACAGCAGCTTTCTGCCTGCTTGCTCCCGGCGACGGCAAATGTTTGGGTGTTCCCACCAGTGACGTCAGCGGTTACCACCAAAAATCCCAGCAAGGATCCCGCCTTCAAACGTCTCTGATCGGTTTGGGTGTGGGTTTTTGCTTGTCTCAAGAGCTTGCTTGTGTCCGTATTCATCATTGTCGGTTTTATTTCTTTTCTCGTGTAATCCTGTGCAACATTTTCGGGGGTGTGTCTGTATCTGTGTCTCAAACATATCGAAAATGGAAAAGTGGACTGGAAAAGTACCGGTCGGTGTCTCGGTGTTTGGTGTTGATGTCTGTATCGATTCGTGGGGGGAAAAAAACTTGGAAGACTGCTGCTGCGACTGCGACTGCGAATGCGACTGGCTGGGGACTGGGTGCAGATGGATGCAGATGGATACACTCGGCTGCAGTTGCACACACCTTTACCTATTTGGCGCTGCACTCCCGCAGGCTCGGCAGTAGTTCGAGGCTGTTGACCTACCTAGTTTGTGGTGTGTGTGTTCGCCATGCAGTATTTTACACGGTAATAAGTGTGCTGGACCCCTGAATCTAACTAAATCTCTTGATTCCCGGCGAGCCGCGCCGACCTGGAGCAGATCGAGATACAGGTACATTTATCCACCCACGCACCTTGTACTTGGCTTTCTCGCCTACCTAGATATGCATTCAGCTATCCATCTTGTTGTTAGTTTTGTGTTGCGCATCCGGGGGTCGGGTCTTTTTCTTCGTCTCTCTCCTTCTAGTCACTCCTTGTTGTTCTGTATCTCAGGAGAGTCTACCTACTCTGGACGCACCGATGACCACGGTAGATTCGTATTTCCTCCCTAACCCCCCGTTTCGGGAGGTGTAGATCACCCACCATGCACAGGACCAAGTAAAATCGTCACTGGGTGTTGAGACGCATTACTGATTACCACATCGATCAATCGATCAGAGATATCTGCATGTGATAGACCTGGTCGTATTAGGGATATGCCACACTAACCCGAAGACCCGCCAGATGCAACCGATCCTGTTGTCAGAGAGTTTTATACCGTCCACTTGCCCGTCAATACTGGCATATGTCCTTCATATGCCGCCGTAAGTGTCTAGGTAAGTCAAGCACGGAGGCGTAAGCATAATCCATATTCGACACAACATGACATCAGTTTCGTAGCTGCTTAAGCAAAGGTAACCGAGACGGTTAGATCGACCGTGTCCCTTTGCTAGATCGACGGGCTCTGGCCTCTTTAGACGAGGCTTACCTTCCCCGTGGCGGACCAAAGTGTTTTTATAAATATTATTACGTCTCCCTGAGAAGTATTTTTGGGGCAAACTGCGTTGGAGAAATTTCATTAGGCATATAAAAACGACAGCTATCCTCTCGATGTATATTCAAGAACGCTGATGTCGGGCTTTTACCTCCAAAATCTTAGTAGCAAAGCCCTTCCCAAATGATTACCGAGAGACCGTTGATTCAACGGAGCACAATTCGATCTAACCGCCCCGAACGTAACTAGTGTATGCAACGCATCATCGCAGCGCCCGCCCTCACAACACCCCAAAAACATAGAACACGCATCCCAGTCCCCACAGACCAAGTAAAAGAACAGCCTGTATCGGAGCAAATATCGCCCCGCGCAGGACAACAAACCCGCTTACAAGCGAAAACACCAGCGGCACCACCAAGGACGGTTTATAAGGCCTCTCCAGCGCCGGCTCCCTATACCGCAGCACAATCGCGCCGACCACAGTAAGGAAGAAAAAAGTATACTCGCCCAGTCCATTGAACGTGAGCAGTGCGCGGAAGTTGCCGAGAAGGATATACAACGACGACAGAACGGCTGAGAGGATGATGGCATTGATGGGTGCGTCAGAGGATCTGGTGTGCTTATTATTCGTGGCGTTGGCATATGATTCGGGATTACTCGGCGTCTCCGTCTGGCGGCCGTAACCTATGAGCCCGACGAGGCCAAAGATGCTTGGGAACCAGTTCCTATGGGCGGCGGCTACGGCCATTCTGCCAGCAACGAACGAGTTGCCGAGGAGGGAGCCGGCGACGACGAGGCAGATGAGAATGGCTGCTACGACGCCAAAAGCCGGACCTAGAAGGTTTGTGATCGCAGTCTTGGCCAGTCAGTGAACTTGCAGAAGAAACTCTGGCGAGAAGAGACACATACCACTGCAACGCTGTCCGTAGTTGACACAACTTTCCAAGGAAGCAGCACGTAGTAAGCAGCATTGGCGGTGATGAAGCAGAGTATGATGGTCGGAATCGACGTATTCAGTGCTAGCGGGAGCTGGATGGCAGGTTTCGACAACTCTGCGGAGATGTAGATTGCCTGTTGTGATCAGCACAACGAATAGTCACTGGTATGGAAGACTTGTTCACCTTATCCCAGCCGGAATATGCCCACAAGGCAGCATACAGCGCTGCGGAGAGATGTCCCAGCGTTTCCCACTGACTTAACTCGTCCCAGTGCGTCACGCTGCCGTCAAGGTTGACAGAGTCTCGATAGCCAAACCACGGCCTGCGCCACCAATCCAGCGGGTCGGGAGTAGGATCGCCTCCCGAAATAATATGCAGCAGCACAACGACAGAGGCAGCCAAGACGACAGCAGCGATGGTGAGGAACTTTGTGACGACGAAGAAGCTGTTGAGACGGGTCGTGGCCTTGGTGCTGATCGAGTTGGCTAAGCTGATCAGGACGAGAACAAACACCGACAGAAGCTTGTGCTCGATCCGGGTCTCCTGTCCCGTTACGCCAGCCGCCGAGTAAATGATCTCGACGAAGACGATGCTGAGAATGGCGAGCGTGGCCGGCATGACGGCGACAATCCACGTCCATGCGGCCAGGAAGCCGAACACGTCTCCAAAGATGTGTCTCAAAAACGGTTGCACCCCGCCTGTAAATGGGTATCAGCCCTGGCTTCTTCTTCTGAAGAGGCTGTTTACTTGCCTTCGCCCGGAATAGCGGTGCCCAGCTCGGCGAGAGTACTCGCGCCAGTCCACGCCAGCACGCCCCCCACAAGCCATACGACGAGGGCAATTCCCGGAGAGGGTACGTTGGTGTCGATGGAACCGGGAGAGGTAAACACACCGCTGCCGATGACGATGCTGATGACGATGGCAAACGCCTCGGAGGTGCCGAGGTTGCGGACGAATGTGCCGCTAGTGTGCTGCTCTTCGACGTTTTCGTCGCTGCTCGTGTCCGTGAGGTCGGTTTCCTGATTGCCAAGCAGCGGCTGCTGCTCGGCCAGTGTGGGAGCCTTCGCGGCGGATACTGAGTTAGACGCCATCACTGTCAAGTAATGGGGAGAATTGAGAATGAAGTGGGCGATTCGCACGAAGCGTTCGGGTTAAATCCGATCACCCCACCACCACATCCAAAGTCGCAATTGCCCCCACATAACTTTCCTCTGGCCCCACACGGCCCTGATGGCTCTCTGGGCTGGGGACTTTGCAAGTGTGTTGTAAACAGATGATGCAGGAGAAAAAAAGGTCTCTTGATTAGGTATTTTATCTTAGAAGGACTAGAAGGCACAGAGTTGGTACCCATGTGGGATAGTGAGAGAAACCTTATTCCAAGTGGGGCTCTTCACACTTCCTAGTCAAGCACGCAAGGCACGCTCGGTGTAAACATTGGATGAACCCCCATGGCAGGCAAACAACAACAAAAAAAGAATCTAGCACAAAAAATAGGATTGACTCCCCTGACGGGACTCGAACCCGCAATTTTCAGATTAAAAGTCTGACGCGTTAACCATTACGCTACAGGGGATTTCTTGTGGCTTGTGATGAGTTGACGACTAGTGCAAGCTTATAAGCCGCTGCGGCTCGGTCCTAGCGTGACTGAGATTCACAACATTCTTTAGCATTTGTACTGGAACTTTGCATTTCAAGATTGACTCAAACAGAGTCTTTTGGTGGTGATGTTTGTCTTGGAAAGGCGATGAGATAGAAAGAGGTACGTCTTGCCTCCTAATTCTCATGCCCTACTTCTCATCCTTGACCTGTAGGTTTAACATTTATATGCCATTAATTCGCTCTATGATGAAACTGTGAACTACAGGTTCGCATTCACACAGCCTGTCAATTTCTTTGATGGGAGTCATGAGTTAAGGATATTCCTCGTGAATCCATCCTTCCAGAGGCACACCTTATCTACACGAAAAGTTGCGAGGAACGAGGAAGTGGCAACTGGTCCGAGGAGCGCCCCCAGCCCTAGATACCGCCTTCCAGTTCGTATTCAATGCCTGAACCGGCAATCGCGGTAGGCACTTTCCGGTTCCAGACAGTCCCGCCAGACTGGTGTTGGTGAACGAGATGAGGACAAGGCAGATAGCTTATCAAACGCAGTGAACTTCCAGAGCTTGCTACTCATATGTGACAAAGTCAGCACTGTGTTTGATCACGCATCTAGAATAAAGATCGATTCAGATGATCTCAGCAGTATTACGTGGATGGCAGATAACCTACGTGGGGTTTCGTGGGACGTGACTCCCATTTCTTCCAAACACTTGCTTGCAGCAGGAGCTCCCTGTCCCACACGTACGTCTGGCCCTTCCACCAGTTGTTCGGAAAGAGTCAACACATTGACTATAAATCCACCCACAGAAACACCCCAGGTGCTTTTCACAGATTTCCCCCCCAAAGGTTCTACGGTTTTCAGCCAGCCCAGGTCGCTTTCTCGCAATCCTTCTTTGCGCAGAAACCCACCCAGCCACGCCAATCACTCACTGGCCAGAGCAGTCCATCGGACAATATATCGCCATGCGCGCTAATCCTCTCTTTCTCGGCATCTCTGCCTTTGTCACTCTTTCTCATGCGTCGGACTCCCCAAGCAACACCTCCGCCTTAACCCCGTGGATTAGCCCGATCGAACTCGCGCCGGCGTTTTACACTCTCGACAGCATCAACGACTGCGGCTCCTCTAATTTCACTAATGAGAGCAGCGATGCCTCTCCCCTCGTCAGCGACTGCCTGCATCTGGCCGACAACATCCGTGGCGGTGGAACCTGGGTCTTCCAGTCGGGCGGCACGCAGTTCCAGCTCGCACAATCGGGCACCTGCGCGTTCGGGGTGCAGACGGAGTGCATCCCGTTCCAGTGTGTGCATGGCGGCATCCTCGTCAAGATCGGCAACCAGGACATCATCGACGTGATCGAAGGTAGCGTTGCCCGCTTCGCGACATCGGAAGGCAAGGTCGGCAGCAAGGGCCACATGTTCTGCCAGGAAGTCGGCGACGAGCACCCGATTCCGGTCTTGTGGGGCATTTACCATTCACCCTGAGACTGGCAGGGTTAATGGTCGGGGCGAGGAGGAAACGGAACCGCCGGTGCTGCACTTGTCTGCGGTGATGGTGGGCAGTATCTGGTTTACACGGATAGACATGGATTGATGGTTTTATTGGAGAGCTACTATACGGACAGTTTGTTGTTGACAAGAGGTTCTTTCCCACATGTCAGCCGGCGATAGACAGCAAGTTATTTCGAGTCATTAGATGTTAGCTAGAGGATTCACCGTCGTTCCCACGTCGTCTGCCCCTGCGCATATGTATCCAAAAATGCCTTCAAGGCGAGACTTTACACCATATTCGCACCGTTAGCCCTAATCACTTGCCCAGAAACCCACCGACTTCCTTCGCTAGCTACAAACAGAATGACCTCGGCAATGTCTTCCGGCTTCCCCAGCCTGTTGAAGGGGCTCTGGGCCTCAAGCATCTTGACCAACTGCTCGCTCTTACCGTCAAAAAAGAGATCGGTAGCCGTCGGACCCGGTGCTACGGCGTTGACTGTGATGTTCTTCTTGGCCAGCTCCTTGGAGAGCACCCTGGTCAGCTGGTCGACAGCGCCCTTGGTCATAGCATAGAGAAGGTAGGCCGGGGCCACGCCTGAGGCCGTGTTAAGCCCCGTTGAGATGAAGATCACGCGTCCGCCACCCGTCGTGGGCATGTGCGGGACCGCCTTCTGCACGAGGAATAACGGACCCTTGACGTTGATGTTGATGATGCGGTCAAAGTTGGTCTCGCTCACGTTGTCGAGGAGCCCCATGGGCATCCAGCCGGCTGTTTGCCAGTTAGTCATGGGATTGTTTGTGTTACGTGCGGTTTGGGAGTTTTGATGTTTCGTGTTAGAGAAGCGAGGGGCAAGAGGATGATTGGTGGGACCAACAGTGCCGGGAAAGGCCCGAAAACGATGTCCTGGGAAAGAAAATGACGGGGCACGTCAATTTGCGGTGCGACGTGTGACAGGTGATGGGTACGGGGATGAAACCGGTCGGCGCGCGTGAGTGACTTTACCATTGGGGATCACAACGTCAATCTTGCCAAACTTGTCGACGGCCGCTGCAACGAGCTTGTCGACGCCCTCGAGGGAACCGGCATCGGCCTGCACCGCCAACGCCCGGTCGGAACCAATCTCGGAGACGACGCCATCCGCTGCTGTCTTGTCGGAGAGGTAGTTGATGACGACCGAGGCGCCTTCGGCGGCAGCGCGGAGAGCTACCGCTTTGCCGATGCCCTTGGAGGCGCCCGTGACGAGGAAAACCTTGCCGGCCAGAGACATTTTACAACGCAAGTGTACGGCTGACTAAAGTAAGAGATATCAAAGTCTTGTGTGGTGTTGTAGTAATGTAGTTGCTACCCATCCAGCAACACGATAGGAGGCCATCGAGAATAAATACATGCTGACGGAGATACCAATACGCGAGAGCTGCGTAAAAGGGTGCGTAAGCCGTACAATAGAGGCTCGCAACGACGTCATCCTCGATGCTTCCAGAGTTTGTCGGTGATGCACAAAGACGGCGTTATCACAACCAATCCGAACAGTTTCTCAGTGGAAATCCATCCGCGCCAAGGCATCTGATCTAGAAAGTCGGTGGAGTTAACGGGTGTCGATGTGGGTCGGACTCGCGATGCTTGGCGCCATCGGATTTATCTCGTCGGGTTTTTGGCTTGGCCCGATGATCGCACCTGCCGCGCAAAAGTCTAGACCACCGAACGTCTGTCCCCTCCGAAGCCTGGACTCCTCTCATTTGCGCGTCTCAACAAATTGAACCTTATTGTCCGAATTCTCCAAGATGCCATCCGTATTTTACATTCGCAACATAGGATGATGATCAACCGTCTTCAATGCGCACGGCCGATCCATGCCTGGATGCCGCTGTCATCGGTACCAACGCTTGGCGTTCCCTTCGTCTGATTGCTAACAATGGCAGCTCGATCGCTTGGTCGGCAAACACACGGGACGAAGCACAGACTGACAGATGCGGCAATGACAATCCTGGTGGATGGCCTGGACTCTTTCGGTTGTTGATGGTGCGCTCGGCCAGATTTGGTTCGTGTAGCCGATGCGTGATCCGCGACGCGACCGACGGGTCTATCAATGCCGCACGACCCCGGGGTCACTGCCGGGCCCGATCGCTACACATCCCCAGGATCAGGTTGCTCGCCATCCCCATGCGCCCTATAACGTCTTCTGTTTTGGAAGTGCACTCGGCACCTGGTTGCCCATCCGATCCGAGTTGTGATCGACCATGATCTCCGTTCGTCTCCAGATCGGACAATCCCAACTCCACCACTCTCCTGGCCACGATGGCCCGCCTGTGTCTAGCTTCCAGGTATTTGGTCCAGCCACGTTCCCGCGATTGCGCTCCTCGGCTTTCGTCTCCAGGTCTCGTCCCGTGCTTGGCCTGCTACCCGGCTTGGAGTTCTTGTCTGGCGATGTCATGGAGCCTCGGACCCTTTCGACCGGATAGCACGACGACGTAGGGCGAGCAGCGGCGGGCCCGACTCGACGACTTGATCAGCAATGGAGGCCAAGAGCAAATCACCTCCTGCTGGCGAATGGAATGGCTGGCCTTGGGACTTCAGCAAATATCCACACGACGACTTTGGGCCCCAACTCAACTACGGCATTTGGGTGCTGACTGCAGTGGCCGGGGGCTTCTTAGGTCTGAGGATCTATTGCAAGAAGATCAGACGACGAAGGCTCTGGTGGGATGACCATGTCCTGATTGCCAGCTGGGTATGTTGATACCAACTAATAAAAACAATGCTGACCTCTCCAGGTCGCCCTGGTGGCCCAGACCTCCCTCATCACGTTCAACACGACGCTCGGATACGGAAAGCATATCTGGGACTTTCATCCCAAGGATCTGTCGTTGTTCCTCCTGATTTCGAACACCAGCGGCTTCTTTTCCATCCTCGCCGCCATGCTGAGCAAGACGTCGTTCGCCATTACCGTCCTCCGCATTTCTCAGGACCGTATTCGCTACATTGTCTGGTTTATCATCATTAGCGTCATCGCCACCCTCGGTTTCGCTGCGCTGTCAACCTACATTCAATGCACGCCTGTTGAGAAGCTGTGGAACCCTTTGATGAAGAAGGGACACTGTTGGCCGAAGGAACTTGTCATTGACTACAATATCTTTACAGCTGGTATGTGATGATCATCGGGTTGTTGGGAAATGCTGACCGGCTCAGCGTATTCCGGAGCCATGGATATCATACTGGCTCTATTGCCCTGGAAGATCATACTCTCGTTGACCCTGAATAAGAAGGAGAGGATCGGAGTCCTGCTGGCCATGAGCATGGGAGTATTGTATGTGTATCCGCCTTGTGGCTGATGCGTATATACTGACAGAAAAGCGCCGGGCTTGCCTCGCTAGCCAAAATCACGCAGCTTCAATCCATAAACCAGGCTGACTTGAGTAAGTACTCCTTATTATGGTTTCCAGCATCCCCTGACAGAACCAGTCCAAGGCATCTGGCTTTCGATT